ATGTATGTAGACCATTTTGGGAATAGTAACATACAGGAATGGTTGGATGAACACAAAGACGAGTTTGTTGGTAACGTTGAGGAAGAAGTACTTGATGGTGCAGGACTGGTTAAGGAAGTTGCACCAGGGCATCGGGATGAGGGTGACACAAACGATGAGGAAGAGAATGGCGACGATGATGACGACGAGGATGAGGATGTCGATGGCGATGAGGATGACCATCAAAAGCCTCATTTTTTTATAAAGGGGAATGAGATTCAGGTAGAGATGGGTTCGAAAGCAGGTGCAGGTGAGTTTTTCGAAGAAGACATGGGTGACAATGAAGATGTTTATCCCGAATTGCCAAACATGTTCAATGATAAGCTCAATTGGAAGGAGCAGGAACCTGTTTTAGGTATGAGGTTTGAGAGTCCTAAGCAATTGAAACACATGCTTTGTAACTATGTTGTCGTGAATGGTTATCAATTATGTTTTGTTAAGAATGATACTAGACGATTACTTGTCAAATGCTGTGATGGCAAATGTACTTTTAGGCTTTGGGGTTCTTGGATGAGTGAAGATAAGTCTTTCCAGATAAAATCTCTTATCGGTGAGCATAATTGTGCAAAGAATTTCAAATTCGGATCAATTGTGACTTACAAATGGATAGGGACCCACTTTAAGCACCAATTTTATAACAATCAAAAGATGAGCGTCCAAATGCTTAGAGAGGAGGTAAAAACCGATTTTGGGATTAATGTGAGTATGAGTCAGTGTAGGAGAGCCAAGAAGTATGCATTGACTCTAGTTGAAGGGACAATAGCTGAAAATTATGCAAGATTATGGTCATATGGTGAGGAGATTAGAAGATCAAATCCTGGATCCAGAGTTAAAATTTGTGTTGATTCAATGCCTGATGGTAAGAATTATTTCAGCAAAATATACATATGTTTTGCTTCAGTAAAAGAGGGATGGAGGGGAGGATGTAGGAGGATCATTAACCTGGATGGTTGTTTTCTGAAAACTTTTTGTCAAGGGGAGTTGGTTTGTGTTGTGGGTAGAGATGCTAACAATGGAATATTCCCGATTGCTTGGGCAGTTGTTTCTATGGAAAACAAAGAGAATTGGAAATGGTTCTTAGAAACACACTTTCAGAAGATTTGCAATGTTGGAATGATGGTAATGGTTTGGTTCTAATTTTAGATCAACACAAGGTATGGTTCAAAACTACTGCATGTTCTAAATTTAGTTATTGCTATTCGAATTTCAAACATTAATGTGACTTATGTAGGGTTTGATTGAGGCAGTAAAGGAAGTATTTCCAGCAGCTGAACATAGGCAGTGTGCTAGACATATCTATGCGAATTTTAGAAAGAGATTTAGTGGATCCAAGTTTGAAAATCTGTTTTGGAAAGCGAGCAAGGCAACAACTGAAGCACAATTTAATGTAGTTATGAAAGAGATTGGAAAATTAAATCCGGAAGCAGATATGCATCTTATGGATAGAGATCCAAAGACTTGGTCTTTGGCTTTTTTCAGAGTTCATAATTCTTGTGAGTCAGTAGAGAATGGTTTTTCAGAGAGTTTTAATAGTGTGATTTTGGATGCCCGGAAGAAACCAATAATAAGCATGTTAGAGGACATTCGTATATATGTGATGCAAAGGATGGTGACTATGAAACTAACCGGACAAGGATGGAATGCTTATTCTGTTTGTCCAAATATCAGAATACGGTTGAATATGCTCCAAACTGAGCAAAGGTTTGTACATTTATCCAATTACATTAGTACTTTACTCTTCACATCTCATGATATTAAAGGTTTTCATCTATATATGTAGGCATTGGCATGTCATTTCTTGTGGGGGGTGAAGTTTGAGGCAAGGAAAATGGACGAGGCGTTTACTGTGGATGTTGAAAAAAAGGAATGCAGTTGCAGGCTATGGCAACTTAATGGATATGGCTGCGTACACTCAGTTGCCACCTTAGCCTACTTAAATTTGACACCTGATGGTCCATATGTAGATCCAATGTACTTGGCTGCATTATACCATAATACTTACAAACAGCCAATCCATGGGATGAATGGAAAAAATATGTGGCCTTCTACTGACTTGATACCCCCTTTGCCTCCACTGAAAAGAAGTATGCCAGGCAGGCCAACCATAAAGAGAAGAAGAGATGCTTCTGAACGGATGGGAAAACATACCGTCTCCAAGGCAGGGAAGAAAGTTTCTTGTAGCATATGCAAGGAGAAAGGACACAACAAGGCTACTTGTAGTAAAGGTGTAGGGACATCCAAACAAAATGGAACAAAGAAACAAAAAACTATACCTACGCAAGAGTCTGTAAACGTTGACACAGGAGTAGGGGATGATGAGGTAATCGTAGATGCTACTGATGCTTTGGATAGGCCTGGAGATGAAGAGCGAATGGTGGGAGTCAATGGACGGGATGAAGGGGTGAATGTCAATGCTCGAGTTAAGCATGTTAAACCGCCTAAAATGCGAAAGAAGTCAGAACGAATCATTAAACTGAAGCTTGCAAAAAATGTGGGAGGTGAAGGTAGCAGTGTTGCAACGGCCATGGAGTTGGATTAAATAATTGTTTGTTATTTGTAGTGAATGTGTGTTGCAGTAAACAAATGATCTTTGTATGTTCTTTTATGGTGTACTTTGTTATTTGTTGTGTGGTAAGTTGTTATATGGTATGTTATTGTTGTCCCGTGCCACGAATATTTAGGGGTATTATGGGCATTTTAGCCATTACAAAGTAAATTGACCATTTATGGTGTGGGGGCATTTGAGTTATTACAATTAAATTTACCATTTTGGATGTGGGGGCATTTTAGTCATTAGAAATTAAATTTACCATTTTTGGATGTGGGGGCATTTTAGTCATTACAAATTATATTGACCATTTTTGGATGTGGGGGCATTTGAGTCATTACAAATTATATTGACCATTTTTGGATGTGGGGGCATTTGAGTCATTACAAATTAAATTTACCATTTTGGATGTGGGGGCATTTTAGTCATTAGAAATTAAATTTACCATTTTGGATGTGGGGGTAATTAAGTCATTACAAAGTAAATTGACCATTTTTAATGCAGGGGTAACTAAGTCATTGTAAAAAACAGGGTACTTGTGACTTAATCAATTCAACATGAAAAGGCCATCTTTAGAAAACTTGATTCCCTTTTTTTTCCAAAAAAGGTTTGCAGACAAGCAGATATGGTTCAATCGTGTGCAAAGGTATTTTTTGTCCCTTTTCCCAAACTGCACCATTTGTGGTCCCTGTCTATGCGCATAAAGAAGGTATATTCATTTTGCTTTGGCTTGTGGTCCCGTCCCAGTCGATGAAACATATATAATACCCAAATGTTTCTTTCTTTCATGCACACATACAGATACAGATGTATGACAATTTTTTTTTTTAATAATAACACATTAAAACACATTTCAGCCATGGGTTTGTTTACACCGCTTTCTAATATTCAATAACCTATTACAGAGATCATCGACAAAAAACTTCATCAAAAAACGATGACCATCAGCAGCCCAGACAACACCACCACCAAATCTACACACCAACATCACAAACTAATACCAGCAACCCACACAAAATCTACTACTAATATTGACACTAAACAACATAAATAACACACCAAAACACAAACCCAGGACTGAAATGCTTCAACCTACACAACATTTTTTTACTTAAACACCAAATACGTCACCACAGACGCAGAAACAACACCAACAATCCCAAAACAATACATCAGCTTCTTACGTTTGTTGTCCTTGAAGACCATCTTCACATATGCTCCTTGCAGAGAAACGAAATGATTTTTAAGATCAGCAACCATATTTGAGATATCCAACTAACCAGCGCGAACGTCATCGACCTCAAGGTTCATGGCATCTAAGTGTCGATTAACTGCCTGACAGAGCTCACACAACTGGTCTTGGAAGTCCTCCCGTATAAGAGACAGCTCCAGCTGGGTTTGCAGTAGATTGATGGCCATGTCTTCGTTGCTTACACCATTCAAATGATTCTCATCCATGTGACGGCGGTAATTTGGAGACCAGCTGTGTTCTGCATGTCCGATCGAAGCCATTTTGGAGTAAACTTAGAGACGAGATTGGGGTAATGAAGTTTGCAGATGTGCCGTTTTAGGTCAAGGAAGTCTTGATTTTATATGGAGGCGCTTGAACAGTCGATCCTTGCTCCTTACGATTCGCCTTCAATACGACGTCGTTGCGGTTGTTCGACTCTTTAAATTCTTGCCATGTCATCGCTTACGTGTAAGGCTAGGTTTATGTGGCAACGTTAACCGGCTACAATAGGTAAAAGAGACTATATTGTTAGGTAACAAATACTTCGTTCCCTTATTAAGCCACAAAATAAGTTAAGTGGCTAAATGGGTCAACCCTAGAAACATTATAGGGCCTATACGTCATTTTCCCTATATATATATATATATATATATATATATATATAATATATATATATATATATATATATATATATATATGTTTAGGTTCTATGGAAAACAAAAAACCCTAAAAAGCCCTAAAAATCATAAAATGCATAAAAAAAATACTTAGAAATCACAAAAAAAAAAATTTAATTTTTTTATGAAAAAATCGCTGCTTTTAATACAAAATCGCTGAAATTTTTTTTGAAAAAACCTCTTTTTTTTATAAAAAAAATTGATTTTTTTTTTCAGTGATTTTATTAAAAAGTTGCGATTTTTTCATAAAAAAATTCAAAAAAAAGTTTTGTGATCTCTAAGTATTTTTTTTTATGCATTTTTATGATTTTTAGGGTTTTTTTGTTTTCCAAATAACCCTTCCATATATATATATATATATATATATATATATATATATATATATATATATATATATATATATATATATCTATATATATATAAGTTAGTTTTTTTTTAAAATAAATATTTCCTAATTTTTTATGTATTGGTATTTATTGTAAAATGATTTTTTTTTTCTTCTAATTTTGAAACCGCCTAGGTTTTGGATTGGGCATGGCCCCATTAAGCTTCTCGATCTTCCGAAGATATGATATGCAACTGCGGGACCCATTCGAGCTGATTCATACTTCATAGTCCAGAGCAGCCTCTTTTTGATTAATATAAGATCTCCTAAAAGAATTGCGATAAAGTGATTACGCTGGATTAGCTAAATACGTATATTAAATTACTTGGAAACAAATAATTATAATTAGATCGCGTGCTAGAAAGCAGAATATGATTATAATTGAGATGTTAAAATTTCAACTTCGGTGACCTTATCGTCGTTGAAGGAATATGCACTGATGGAATGATTAAAATTACTCTAATAATGTAATAGTACAGGAAGTTTGCTATGCATATATGCACTGAATGAAATCACTAAGGACAAACAAAATCTTTATGTAAATAGATTATAGACGAAGTAAAGGAGCAATTAGTGGGAAATTTTAAATGAATAGTAGATATGCATTATATATGCTTATTCTTTTACAAACATGTTTGATATCTTCGTTAATTTCATATTCTAAAGTAACCACAATAACAGGAGGGGTATGGGGAGTTGCTTGATACATGCTCATATTGTGGTGAAACCATATCATCTTTCACAGAATTTTCAATGTGTCTATGTACCTAGTTTCTGATAGACATTTCTTAGAGATATGATCAAGAAATTCACCAAAGCTTCCCTCTCTGTAGGCTATGGGATACTGTTCATCAACGAGCTGTGGTGCGGGCCCTACCTTCTTCTCTATTGGCAGACTATGAAGACTAGCAATTGACAATCGATTCCTCTTGTTGTTCACAGTTGCTCTATGAAAAGTACTCTTGTATCTACCATTGCTCATCACTTCAATTTGATCTCCTAATTGAACTGTTAATGCTCCTTGTATAAATGGTACAGAGTGCCATTTTCTATCTTTGTCCATGATTTGGAGTCCTTGTTGGTTTTGGTTTAGGATTGTTAGGGTTCCATAATCGGAGTGTGGTGGGATCCCGAGTGTAAGATCTGGTTTTGGGCATGGTGGGTAGCAGTTCACAGTCATGGCTTGAGAACCTTCTTCAATCTCATCATGCATGTAATTTGCATTTAAGCCTAGGTTTTCAAGAACTATTGCCATTAATTGCTTTTGCAATATGTGCACTGCTTTTGCATAGCTTCCCATTTTTTCTCTGCTCAAATTAAGTCACTAAGGTTAGTAAAACACTCAAAACCAGTAAATATCAATATACATATGTTCCATTCAACCTCAAATTTTATAGCATGGATGTAGTTTATAGACTCGTATTCGTTTGTGTAATAGAAGAATGTGTCTTGGTAGTTTTACCTATAAGTTGGAGGGTTTGAAGGCCATAGTTGGATCCATTCTGAGATGGGATTTGCATAATGCTTGATGAAATCTCTCCAATAAAACATCTTATCTGTCCCATGATTCATACTAGTGCCATATCTAACGGGATCACGAACATTAGCTGAAGCCAATTGCATCTTCTCTTTGCTAGGCAAGTGAAAGAACTCTTTTGCAATGTCTAGAGCATCTTGCATTACGGAAATAGGAATCCCATGGTTTACCACCTTCAAATCACACAAATTTTGTCATTCAGTTATTAATCAAATTAATAACCGGATGCATAACTGGTCCCACATCCAACATGGACAGGTAAATCAGAATGTCCACTAATAAGAAAAAAGGTGAGACCCAGGCTTGAATCTATGAGTTGTCAGATTCAAATCTCGGTATCACCTTTTTTGGTCTGGGGACATTGTGATTCATCTGTGGGACCGGTTACATGAGCAAATACCTGGAAGAAACCGAGTTTGTTGCAAGCTGTATGAATTTGATTGATGGTTTGAGACCTAAATAAAGGATCCTTCAACAATGAAAGATCAATGAGGGGGAGGTTGGTTGAAGGGTGGTCCATGAGCCTCGGGTTTGGTCGTTGCAATGGAGGAAGAATGTATTTTTCTGGTATATTTTCATCACTCTTGAGTGTAAGTGTCATTGCACTGATAAATGAACACTCTGATATTTTAATTTCAGTTTCTCCATGTTCTTTCATTTTCTCTGTTGAAAATGAGAGTTCAAGATTTGAAATATCTGAAATGAGATCTTTATCCGAGTCTTCATTGTCTATTTATAAGCAAAAGAACATGATTTTCTTTGTCTTATGTATTGGTTCCTTATTATTAGGAAAAAAGTACGTGTGTAGCCCCTTTTATGTATACTAAAATAAGTTTTAATTATTTGATAATTATATCTCATTTTTTAAGCAAAGTTTGTTTCAAATATAAGTTTTTGCTAAAAGATATATAAAACCAGAAGACAATAGGCATAGACAACGTTGGACACGTGTCCTTTTAACTTTGGTGTACACTAGCGAAAAAAGAAATCGGAATATGTGTTATCGGTATGTATATTATTTTATTTTATACTATAAATATAGACCACTAAAAACTAATTAAAATGTTTGTATACCACTCACAAATTTGTTTCACTATTATATTATGAGTCTCAGAGTCTATGACAACGGTAAGCAAAATTAACCGTATCTTCACTTTGTCTCTCTTAAGTTAGTATTGTGAAGTCATGATAATAATTTTGATCCATTCATTTAAGTTTTGAAGATAAAATTGGATTATTTTAGTAGTTTTGTTGATGCATGGCAATTTTTTTGTTAACGTACGTAAGCTGGCTGTTGCAACTTTGTTGTGGCATGTTAATATATATTATTATAATTATTTACTGAAATGCCCTTCAGTTTTTTAGGATGGGGACATGGGTAGGTGGTTGGATGGATATGTATTTTGGCCTTTTGGGGCACATGGACTCTCGTCTCTGGGAGATCGGATTGTCCAATGTCCATGTTAACTTAGCTTGAAAGTTTCGAGTGCCGTCACTATGTCCTATTTAGTCCCTTCACTTTCGTATATTGTCAATTTGGTCCCTGGACTAAATATAAAGTTACGCAAAAAATTCCATCTTTCTCCATTTTATCTTTTATTCTTCATATTGTTTTTTTTTTTTTTTTTTTTTTCAAATTAAAGAAGTACAGTGTCCTAGGCATTAAATAAAAAATTTCAAGCGAAATTTACCATGTTATGCCACTTGTTTGTGCAAGAATCAAAAGTATCAATTCTTTTTCGAAAATTTGTTACCATTTTAACATTCTTACAAAAACAACTTCACCACTAACAATTTGTACATAATCTAAAACTATAACACAAATCAATTAATAATCTGAACCACAAAAATAATATTGTTATTACTTTATTACGTCGATCAAAGACATCTATGGTTATTACTTTACACAAACCAATTAATAATTCCAACAATTGATTCTCACACCTCTTATAGCATACAGGCACATCAAATATCTCCCCACACATCGCCTTTCAAGTTCCGTCGGAAATACCCACGAAACAATATCCCTACAATTCTTCCCCTTACCAACTTCAACTTCAAACGGGAGTTTCTTCCGGTAAGATTGAACCGTTTAAGACTGCAAAATGAAATGGCCAAGTTTTTAGGGTTTTTCTTATGTATTTATGTTTTTTAATTTCATGTTTTTTGTTTTCTAAGTTTTTAGGGTTTTTATGTCATGTTATGTTTTTTTTAAAATTTTAAGTAATGAAATTTAAGTCTTCTATGTTCTATTAAAGTTGAGTTGCTTTAAAAAAAATCAAAAATTAATAATTATGTATGCTATGGTGTCCATTCCTTATTTGTGGTAAGAAACCATGAATTTGTGGTAAGTTTGATGTGGCAGTAAAATGCTTATGTGACAATTTTTTGTAAGTTTGATGTGCTAAGTATGGTATGACATTCTGGAGTACTATAAATATGGTTGGTGTTACATCACCGTCACCTCATCACTACACACAACCACATTAAGTTAGTGTACCCACCATTTTGCATCATTATACCTCTCTTATTTTTTTATTATTTAAACAAAATAAATATTTTTTTAATTATTTAAAATATAGAGAAGTATTAAGTATATAAATAGGTAGAGAGACAAATAATATAATTGGGTATGGTTAATTGTGGTGGTGACCACAATCTACCACTCCACCTCATCATCTCAATCCACCATAATGACGTAGGATGGTGTGATGCTCACATTCCCACCACTTTGCCATGTCAATCACGAATAATGCTCATTGCAAATACTCTAGAAGGCTTAAGTGTGATATCACACCCTCCTGTCTAAAAAGAAAATATGAATATAAATAAAAATGTAGTAGAAGTAGTCAAGTAGACTCTTTTGGATTTGTAATAACGTCAAAGACTAACCCGAAAATCGGTTTTTTTAACTCAATCCTCAAATGGGCCAAAGTTCTTGGTTTTCTGTACTATTTCCTAAAATCCATAAGTTACCCACCACGAATCACGATGTTATACTTATATCTATTCGAATTAACACGACACTTAATGCACCGGAGTGCTCTTGTTAGTGGTAGAAAGCTCTCCAGGTGAGAAATCTCTTTTTGATGGTTAAATGCTCTCTTGGTGAGATAAATATCTCTTTGGTATAAAGGTGTTCTTCAAAGTCAAAGGTTGAAGATGCTAGTCCTTTATTTAGGGCGGATCTCTGTTGAACTGTACTTGTAATATATGTTTGAAAACTCTTGAATAAGAATACTCCCTCCTTCCGGTAGACGTAGGCCACCTTGACAAACCACATAAATATTGTGTCTTTGTGTGTGGTTTCATGAGTTATCTTCTTACTTTCTAACAAGTGGTATAAGATCTTGTCAAGTGGCATTAGATATGTTCCGGATTTTAACAAGTGACGTCTCATTCCTAACAACTCTTCCTCATTATCCTCCATAAACATCACCTACCCATCTCAAGAGTATATTGATATGAACAGTGTTTTAATAACATCGTCGGTTATTGTTTTCCTGGTATATAGTATATAGGTATGAACATTGAACACTACTAATTAAGTAATTATAATAATATACACGATTTAGATAAAATCATTCCTTAAAAACTTAACAAAACCTTTTTAGAATAAAAAAATTGTTACTGATGTACAAGAATGTCCTAAACTTCTTAATTCGAAAAAAAAAATGTGTAGATAAAACATGAGTCTCTAGGGTGTTAGACCTTAATGAATGTGACAACATGACAATTACATGCTATCATTTTAATGATCATATCATCATACTATACTTATAAAGTAGGCATTTTCCCTTGAACCTCATGCATTTGAAACCCCCACAAAAATTTGCAAACACCTCATGCATTTGAAACCTCCTATTTTAATGAATATCATTCAAAAGTCTCTTAATAATGATTAACAATTCAAAGGTTTTATAACTTATATAATATATTTAGTAAAAAATTAATTGATAGTCTACTATAAAAATGCCAATATCTTTGAGTAGACACACAAATACAAATCACATACAAAATTCACAAAGAAAATAAGTTTAAAGGTTTTTGTGTTGGTTTGAAGGATTTTGACCATTTTTCGAGCCATGTTATTATGTTGAAGTTTTTAATTTGTAAGTTTGTTATATACTAATTCTTTTTTATATTTTCTTGGTTTAAGTATTCTTTTAAGAATATCATTGTATGTTGTGGTTGAAATTTTAATGTGAATTAGATTAGATTCATGTTATCGATCATATGTTATGGAAGGTGATATATATAATATTTAGTTAACTATTGTATACATGTTTGTATGTTCGTGTTGCTTCGAATCAATAATTAATTAAAAATCATAGATATGTCATATTATCCATATTATCCATGTAAGTCTCTTTTAAAATGCAAATTGTCTATCTTATCACTTTGTATTTTAGTATATGTTTAACATTTTAATTATAATAATAAGTGCTTTTTAAAAGTTTCTTTCACTTATTAATAATAATAAGTGGTTTTAAAATTAATAAACAATAATTATAAATAATAAAATCAAATTATAAAAATCATGGATATGTCATATTATCTGTGACAACCCGAACCTTTTTCAGTTAACGTTAGCCGATTCCCGTTAATAAAATTTGAATTTTATTGAGTTCCGTCATATTCCTTAAGTTTGGAAAAACATTTAGTTATATAATTAAATGTTATATAAGAGTCGGGACCAAAATCACACGAAAAACCCGAGTTTCCTTTGAAAGATCAATGGTTTTCGGCCTGAGAGGAGTTCACGGCCGTAAACCCGTTTACGGTTAGGTTCCAGGTGGCCCCCACCACCGACCATACCCCAACCTATATATACGGGACCCCCTCCTTCATTTGAACTCTCTTGGTCGGAAACTCCCTCATTCTCTCTCTAAACTCTTGACCGTAAACACCAAAAACACCTTTATTCTTCCGAAAATCATCGAGAAACACCCTCGGAAGTTGTTTTGGAGCAGCTAAAACATGTTTTTCATCGAATCCAACACTATTGTTCTTGAGTTTACGGCCGTACACCCTTCAAATCTTCAAAGCTTCAAAGACCGCAAACTGTTTACGGTCGTACATCATTCATACCTTCAAAGGCCGTAAACTCGATTACGGCCATAAACCCTTCAAGGGGCAGTTCACGGCCGGAAACTCCTGCACACCGTGAATCTTGGCTGCAAACCCACTTTTCCGATTCAATCGAGTCCCGGTAACATTACTAAACCGAAAGCAAGTGTGTTTCCAACACTATAAATAATGGTTTCGCTAATAAAATACATATATGTATTAATTGTATTAGGATCCCGTTGAGTGCCGCGTACATCAACTTGAGGGTCTTCACTCTCATTTTGCGCTGTCCGACTATTCACACGACTAACAGTGAGTTCATACCCCTATGCTTTTACTATTTTTAAGGTTTTTAGGGGGGAATACAAGCCAAACACAAATGATTTTGTAAACTTATACAAAAGAATTTCAAAACTTATGCAATTGATACAACCAAAAGATTCTCATGTTTTATAAATACACATATAAGAGACGTTTTCAATATACAACCATAATTACATAGTTTTCAGATCAAAACACGAACCAAACACGCAACATACATGCAAACTATAATAGGTATAGTTTGGGGTTTTCAAATCACAGTTTCATGAATTCAGAGTTATACATTGCAAACATATAAACTATGATAGATTTAGTTTATGAAATACATTCGGACTTCAAGAGTACAACATTAAATAATTATTTAAGTATAATTATTACTCTTTAAAGTATACACACAGATTCAAATACGAAAGAACCATACAGAACCACACGTAAACTAGTTAATATAGGATTGTGAGACAACTCTTCAATTGTACCTTTCGGGGTACAAATTAAATCATAGCATAGTATAACCAGAGTCTCCTGGAGGGAGAGCGTGAGATTTGTGAATAGATCTATTCGGGACTGACAATCCCACACCTAAACTGCTAGCTACAATTAGGCAGACATGCCTAGGGTGACAAATGTCATTTAACCGACACTTGAAGAACGTCGAAAAGGTCACTAAGTCATATCAAGCATGGTTATACGACTCACAATAGTATAAACTAACCATTTGTTTACTGGATTTCATTCTTCATTAGTTTTATTTTAAGTAATGAAACTACTATACATACTGGTGGTAGCCAGGGTTTTCAAACAGAACATACTATACATACTGGTGGTAGTCAGGGTTTTCATACAGAACATACTATACAAAGGTTTTTGTACAGAATACACACATACTACGATTGGTAGCAACCAGAAATACAAACTAACGTTTTTCTATGCTACAACAGAATACAGTAACGAACATTCCTCACTAAATTCTATAATAACTTAGTTTGTGCATCTGAGTTATGTATAAAGAATACCCGATAGACCGTGGGATATGTGGATTCCGCCTCATTTCCTGTTCCTTGTTTGGTTGTGGGCTTAGGGCAGATCCACACAATCAACGGTCTGTTCGGTATTGGGTTATACCCAGCTAGTATGAACTAAGTGGTCGTAGAAGGAACTCGTTTAATCATACATATACTAAAGAAAATATGGATTTTCTTGAGAACATGCAAACATTTTACAGATTTACAAACAGGATTTCACTACAAATACATACTTACGAACTCACCAGCTTAATGTTGATACTCTTTCAAAACTGCTTGTATTCTCAGGAAATCAGTAGACAGGTACCTCCCGCAGTTTTTGGAGAAGACAGAGCGTATAGAGTCACGTCTTTTACATTTGTTATACTTTTGATGTATATGATTTCGAATCAAACAGATGTAACTACTTTTATAACTATCCAATGTAATGGTTGTGTTTACTATGATTACTATGATGTAATTGTTGTGATACTACATATGACGTCATCCACCCCCGAAAGTTTCCGCCGTTCCGGTTTGGGGGTGTGACATTATCCATGCAAGTCTCTTTTGAAATGTAAATTGTCTATCTTATCACTTTATTATTTAGTGTATGTTTCACATTTTAATAATAATATTAAGTGTTTCTTAAAAGTCTTTTTTAACTTACTATTAATAATAATTGGTTTAAAATTAATGAATAATAATTTTAAATGATACTAACATCAAATTATAAATTGCATTTGGCTACAAATAAATTGTATTTTAAATGAGCATCATTGTTGAAATTAGAAAATGATCGCATAATTAAAAATATAATTAATCAATCATAATAATTGTTAAAAATAATACTAAATAGATAATTATATTTAATTATATTAATGAGGAAGGTGGGTTGATGTCAATGAATATCATTGTTCAAAATAATTGATATAGATATATATATATATATATATATATATATATATATATATATATATATATATATATATATATATAAATTAGTGTAAAAATATTATCTCAAAGTTAATGTCAATAACATAACCATTTTAAACATATATTTTTAGAAAATTTAACAGTATATTTTTAACCTGCGCTGCGCAACGCGCGAGAATTCGTCTAGTTACTTATATAATCTATGCACAATTATTTCCTAACTACCTAACATATTGATATTAATATGATTTACATCAAATTAGTTAATTTTTGTTTTTTGGTTGTTTTGCCGACCTCTACTCTACATCAAATTGTTTTCATCCCCTTTAAAATCAACCCATCTAATCATATATTCTTCAAATTACGTTGGGGATGTTTGTTTTTGATTTTTTTTATTAGCAAAAAAAAAATATGTTTTTCAGAATACAAAAAACTAGGGATTGGACAGCTAGGACCCAACCGGTCCATGACCGGAATCTCCTATTTACAGGTCAGTTCCCCCTAATCGACTAAACTGGTTCTCGATTCCACTGGTTCGGGCTATGTTTGGACTTACACACAATATATGAGCATGTGGACCGCTAGGACTGGACCAGAATGGAATCAGTCCATGATCGGACCTGAATCAATGGCAGAGTCATTGTCAAAGTTCATGGGTAGCACAAAAAAAATATGTGTAATATATAATAAGAAAAAAAAATAAAGACCGCAATTTCATTACACATAACAAAGTGGCAAAATAGATTATAGAATGTATAGTACATTGTAAAGTTCACTTCTTCACTCTTTCTTTTTCCAAAAGCGAGTAATTACATTTTTAGTCTTAACATTCTCAAGTGCTTTATTTTCCACACTATAAATCAAAGCATCATTCATAAAATCGTCATTTATTCTATTATGCAAATCGGTCTTCAACAACTGCATTGCAGAAAAACATTGTTCAACGGTTGCGGTTGCGACAGACAATATCAAAGTTAGTTTTAATAATCTATAAACCAAAGGAAAAGAGCAGTGCTTCCCTGTTTCCACCAACAAACGAGAGAAGTTCACAATTCCTTTCAAGCTGACAAATTTCTCATCATAGAGCAAAGAATGATAATAGATATCAAGTTGCCCAATTTCGACTTCAACTATTTCTTTCTGCATCTCGTGTATTATATCTATTCTCTTACAAGAACCACAAACTATGGTAACCATCAAAGCTAGTTGGTCAAAGAATTCTTCAACATCATCATGTTTCTTTGCTACCACCACAACCACTAACTGAAATTGGTATGCAAAACAATGTATATAATGTGCGAAACTATTTTCTCTTCATTCCAAATATTTCAAACCGTTGAATGCACCACTCTTATTACCTTCACCATCATAACCTTGGCCGCTCAACTATTTATTTCAAAAAATCAATAAAAGATATAAGACATAAAAAAGTAATATCTTAATAAAGAAATAAATATTTTATGAATTCTCACCTAAGCCATACTCAAGTTGTTGGTCTATGCCTGAGTCCGAAGGAAGATCATTCAAATCAAAAGTTTGTGGCTCTTGTGGTTTTGGAGTAAGTTCATTAGGTTGTGGTTCTTATGGTTTTGGAGTAGGATCATTAGGTTGTAGAAATTGTGTCTTTCATTAGGGTTATTTCTTTTGGAAGTTCATCCACCACTGTCATCTCCAACATCTAATTGGTTTTTGAAAAATTTGTTAATATAAACCTACAATCAAAATATTTCAACTATAAACTTGATTTCAGGTTTAACCAATAAATAATCATTAACTATAAATCCTAAGTACCTAATTAAATAAACCTAATTGAGTTATTGCTAATTTCTAATTTCTCAACACAATGTCAAATAATGGAAATTTGAATTAACCTAACAATAAATAATAGAATTGAGGTTTTTTTTTTCTTTTTTTTTTTTTTTTTTTTTATGATTATTTCCTTACTTGTTTCATTGTGATAGTCCACCACCACCTGAGGGGAGTTCACCGGGAAAAGAACTTCGGCAGCAACAACTCCATAAACAATGTGTGCAGGGGGTGGGAGGAACAAGCAGCAGGTTGCGATCGGTTTTCCTTCAAGTCGATTCTTCCGATTTTTTGCAAAACAAGATAAGGGGCTTCTATCTTACCATTTTTTGTTTCATTAAACTAACTTGTATTTTGGGTTTAAAATGTTTGGACTTTGTACTACTTAAACTATTGGACTGTTTTAAACATTTTGAGCTATTTTGTATTTTGATTTATAAGTTAGGAATAACATAATTTTTTTTAAGGGCAGCCCAAATTTTTTCGAGGGGTAGCACAACATAAAACGAAAATTTTCGGAATTTTTTACATTACTGGACAAAATTTGAGGGGTAGGGGCTCCTTCATAGGTTCGCCTATGACCTGAATCTTCTATTTACAGGGCAGTTTCCGGTTCCCCCTGATCAACTAAACCGGGTTTGGACCGGTTCATCGAATGTGTTTAATTACCCCTCTTTTTAGTTATCACTGTAACTCTTTTGCTTGTTTGATTGTTGGTACTTGGTAGTTAAGACCCAAATTGCTTGAATTTCCATCCATGTTTTTTTGTATTGCCATTATTATCCAGGATATGGAGCTTATGTTGGTGATTTGCTCTAATATTTTGCAGAAAACTCTTTGATATGGATGTTGTATATTATCTGATATACTTGACCGATAAAATACATAGAAAACTGAATATACTGAAAGAATAGAAACTTTAAAACGAAAACTGGTATCTGATTGATATGCTTTGGATGGATCTAATCTGGTAATTTGTGTAATTGTGGGTTTAATGTGTTCATTTAATCAGACTTCATCTGTTAACTCTGCTGATTTAACAAACATGACCCATTTACAAAAAATCCCCTTTGGACTCTTTCGCATTAGACTCTATTGCTTTACCAACAAGACAATCTATCAAACAAGTTGGTACTAAAAAAAAAACTTTACACAAGTTATAGTAAAAACACCACACAACACATGACTTTCCACCTCTTTTTTTTCTATAAAATTCTGAATCGTTCTTTCCACAGCTTAGAAAGGAGGTGAATCAGACCACCTTCTCTTAACTTCAGTTTTGGATCTAACCTCCTTCAACTTCCCATCCCTTCCATAATCCCTTTCCATAACAAGATTAATCCCTTCATCAGAATACCACCCGACACCAATACACAACACGCCATCCTTACTTACATCAACATAACCCGTAACACCGCCAGGCAACCATAACACTGTAACATCCACCATGTCCGCCGCCTCCTCCTCCCCAAAGTAGATTGCCATTTCCGGCAAACTCCTCTTCTTTAAAGTCTCCGTACAAAGATAAACATACGGTGGGTCCTCCTCATTATCCTCCATAACCGCCGCCTCCCCGCCATAAATCGGTGTGGCACTCGTCTCAAACACCTTCCATGATCCACTCAATTCCGATGGTTGCACTCTTTTTCTTTGAGAAAATGGCTTCACGTCAAAATCCACATCACTGTATTTATCAAAAAACATTCTACAAATTTATATCTGACAATGACACTGACACTGACAGTAGAATTGGAGGTTACCTTTTGTCAGAAAGATGAGCGGTACCGACCCATTGCTCTTCGTAAACAGCCACCCTCATGATTTGAATATCCGAACCACCATCACTGAATTCTATAGTGTGGACAATACGTAGTCTTTTGTGACACCCTTTAACTAAACACTAATTGATGAAAGAAAATATTTTAGTTTGAATTAGGGTTTAAGAACATGATGAAACCACAAAGAAAAAAAAAGAACTTACTTGCTCGAATTTGAAAGTTGGGGATAGGAAGTAATTGGAATCATCAACTTCTCCAACAGGTATGTCAACTGGACCCCTTGAATATGAGCCATCCTTTCAAATAATTATAACAATAGAAGTTTTTTTTAGTAATTGAAAGGCATGTGTGAAAGAAGAAGTAATACAAGTTTTTACCTCGAAAAAGACGAGACCAGGCTCCATACCCATGAGATCTTCTTCCATGACATCACTTGTTTCAAAGTTAAAAGACTCGAATTTTGGGATTACATGGTTTGTTTTCCTTCCATCAAACGCTTCTATGGTGGATAAAGATGCGTCCTCTTTGTTTTTGTTCACACGTTTATTTTCACCATGAGGGTTTAAAGTCACCCAATTTACAATTCTTTGAATGTGAGATTCATGTGTTCCATTTGTTGATGCTACTGCTTCGATCCGAGAAAGAGTGCAGCAGTCAAATTGAAGTTCGTTGTTTCTTCCAACATCAATGGGCTCCATTTTAGCTGTGATAGGTGAGAAAACTGCTCCTGTTCCCTTCCATATGCCACTAACACTACTTGCAAATGTGTTCCATTTTGGCATGATCACAGGTTCCTGAAAGATCAACATCATATTATACATATAATCAATTAGATGTAAAAATGAAGCCACGGAGTAGTCGAGAAGGCATGAACCTAGCAAGTGATTTGACACTAAACAACCTTCATATGTTCAGCTTTCACTAAACTTCTACTAAACTATTTCAGATCGAAATCATAATTTTCAACAGAAACAAGTTTAAACACGAAATTCAGTATCAGATGGTTTTTAGAACGAAATCGAGACAGTCATACCTGAGTTTGTAAAACCTTCTCCGTCTCTATTAACATCGAACCAGAAACCATTATTCCTTCATCGCTCTCACTAGCTCTCCGTCTCTTCGTCGTCGAATTCCTTACTTTTGTCCTCCTCCTATCGCCTTTCTTCCGCCTATCTCCTCCTCGACTGTCATTAGCCGCATCGTTATCGATACTCCAAACATTATCCTTCCCCTTTCCTTTCGCTGCCTTCACTCTCGCTGTTCGGCGATTGTTAGGGTTTAAGCTGCTGCACCAAATACGCGAATATGGCTGTCGGAGAGTGATTAAATTAAGAGATGAAGATGGAATAAATCGTAGAAACTGTGTGCTTGAATTACTCCAAAAGGTTCTTGAAGCGTCCATCAATGGAGATTGCATTCTTTTTCTTCTTCTTCCTCTTCGTCACTTCCGTAAATTCGTATCAACGGTACGTCAAAAGGATATTGTTTAAAGTTTTTGCTAATTTACGCGAATAACAACGAACTTGTTATATTGACAATTTAGCCACAAAACCTTTATTCTATCGATCTTAACCTCTTATACTTTTTAGTCGAGTGTTCAACCCCTACAAAATAAGTTTTACATAATAAATCCCCAAGTAAACTGCGAATTATTAATACTATTGACGACGGTGAGTGGAAAAACCATCGTCCAAATCCTAGCCCTTAAAACTCCTGCAACTTTCAATCAACTTTCAATCAGAGCCGCATAAACTCAAATATGGCGGTTGTTTGCAGTTCATCGATCGGCGGTTGCTTCTTCTCCTCACGTTCTGCACAATCATCAGTGTCTCCTCCCACATCTTAAATCAGTTTCTCTACCACGTTCCTATGAACGGTTCCTCACCCCCAAGTTGTATAAATAGATTAGGAAAGAGAACCGGAGACCGGTTGCACCTTCATAAATATTCAATCGATTCCTCCTCTAGATTAAATACGAATTTGTGTTTAGGTGTCGTCGTTAAATCATCGATGGAAAGGTATGTAAATCCGCCATTTAACGGAGTCTGACGATTGGAAATGGCACTCATGATTTCTTATTCTCTTGATCATCAATTCTCATCTCCAATGCTTCAGTCATCTGAACACATATGGAGCTAACATCGCCTGAAATCTCTTCCCCAAAGGTAAAAATTGTTCACCTAAGTATCTTTTAAGTTTGCAAATTTCTAGGATTTTAATATCTGAATTCAATTTCTATTTGATGGCATACCTAGGTTCTGGTCATCGAATAACCAAATCAGAGATACTAAATCTGCTTCTTAATTTTCTTCTGAGTTGAATCCTTTCATTGCTCGTGTGATTAACTATGGACGAGAAATCAACCAAACATATGGATGACGACAAAGAACACCCACCCTAGGTAATTTACTCAAATCTCTCTCATAACAGAATTAACTTCATCGATTTCATATCATCCTTGTGTATATATCTACCCTAGAATGGATGTACTATATATTGTGATTCATTTACCATTCTACTCCATTGATGACAGGACTTGCAATTGCAGCGACTTGTTGTTGCAGCTGCTGTTTATGCTGGTAGATATGGCATCCAAGCATGGCAGGATTCAAGAAAAAAGTAAATGGTAAGTAGGAATGTATTAAATTTCAATTAGTTAACAAGTTATGAAATCTTTCTTCTTTAAAGGGGTTTATGTCTTTTGGATGATACCAAGTTATCCCAAATCATACAACATCAAATCTCAGGTTCGTACCAAGATTATCAGGTAAAACTCTTTTTGATCACATATATGCGCTTCTCTCTCTCTCTCTATCTCTCTCTCTCTCTCTATTACACACACAGGCACTCATTTACTTCCTAGACTGAATTTTCACCACATAGAGGCACCTGGTTTCTATCTATCTATCTATCTGGTTTGCAATCAAAAGCCACCACTCACCCCAAAGGTATGAATGATCTGCTTCTTTGACATTTGTATTTCCTTTTTGCCCTATTCAATGTTTATTTAGATTAGTTTTTCATTTGATTGGATGGTTTCTATATGGTAATAGTTAATGAGGATGTGGGAGTTTATGTGTTTTATAATGCATACAAAGTGTTTGATGGAATGCCTAAGTGAAATACCCCTCCTAGACCCTAAAACTTTATATTTAGTTTTATGTAAAATAATGTTCATATCATATAAAAATCTGAATTTGAGAAAAGAAAGTATTAACAATGTAACATCCTAAAAATCAAGGTCAAAAATTTCATTTTTAATATAAGAAAACCTTTAATGACGTTGTTCCTGACATTGAAAACATTTCATTTAAAACAAATATCAGAGTCGAATCCCCAAAGATCACATAATGCGGAAATTATAGTGTGATGCGCTGCAACCGCCCCGAGCTCCTTCCTTTGAAAGCATTAGTACCTGAAACCAAAACTGTAAACTGTAGCACGAAGCTTAGTGAGTTCCCCAAATACCACATACCATACATATCAACTGGGTCGTACATGCCATACATACTGTGAGCCATACATAACAAACATATTCATAATCAAGTAAGGTGCTATGTGCCAAACATAGTCTTGTTGTTATGCCACGGGCCGCACGTGGTCTTTCTTGTCAATCATGGGGCCACTCCCTGGGTCTTACAGACAAGTGTCAAGGGCCACCCCCTGGTCTTCCATGCAAGCATCACAAAGACAACTAGCATACATACTACTCTACTTGGCTACTCAACATATAGTGTGCCAAGAGCCACCTCCTGGTCTTTCATTCATAATAGCATACAGTGTGCCAGGATCCACCTCCTGGTCTTTCATACATAATGCATAGGGCTAACCCCCGTATCTTCCTACTATACATAATATCATGCAGTGTGCCAGGAGCCGCCTCCTGGTCTTTCGTACATAATGCCTAGGGCTAACCCCCGGGTCTTCCTAATATACATAAACTAAATGGGCCGGCATTGTGGCCGTAGACCCATACAAACAGTAAGGAGACTCACCTCGCACTGCTGAAGACTAGCTGAACACTTTCTGGTTGCTAACCGACAACTCTTGAACTGCTGATCCTTCGGCTCCCCGAACTATCAATACCCAAAATAACACTTAGACTACAATACCCTCAAAAGTCAAACTTGGTCAACGACAACTTTGGTCAAAGTCAACATCCAGTTGACTTGACTCGTCGAGTTGGTCCACCAACTCGTCGAGTCCCTATTCTTTCAAAATGATACAATCCCCCCGACTCTACTCGTCGAGTCTAGCAAGAACTCGACGAGTTCACCTTCAACCATAACATCGGGACCATCTTCAACCGACTCACCGAGTTCATCTTCATCATATGAATGTGTCCAGTATATGACTCGCCGAGTTCTATGAACAACTCGTCGAGTCCGTCTTCTTGGGTTGGGAGATTGCCTTGGACTCGCCAAATTTGCTCATACACTCGCCGAGTCCCATGATTTCCAGGTCCATAATCACCTCCATCTTGCTGAGTCCCCTTCTAAACTTAACCAGATTCCTCAGAAATAGAAAAGGTTGGGGAACCAATACCCGACTCGCCGAGTCCCATGAACGACTCGCCGAGTCCCCTAAAGTCCATGTCCATAAACTCGATTTTTGTTGAGCTCATATCATCCAAAGAGTAGATATGACCTCCTAGGGTCGATATAATATGTAAAGCCTCTGCCTTTACATCCATGCATGACCTTTATGCCTTAACCACTCTTAGGGACCCCAGATCTGAAAGGATCTTTGCTTGGGACATTCTTGTCCCATAGATCAAGCTCCATGGACCAAAACTCTCATAAAGTGGACATAAATAGATCTAAGAAGCTATAAGTCAAGATGAAGACCTGATTACCAGAAGATGATGGAAATGAGATGGTGTTGCTGGATCTACAAGTTCCTCCTTGAACCTTCAATATCCTTCTTCTTCTTCTAGCCTCCAAGAACACCAAAACACTCAAGAATGGCTCACACACTCACCAAATGATCTAGGGTTTCGTGGGTTAAGTTCTGGACAATGGGGGCTGGGAATGGAACCAAGAGGAGGAGAATAAGATGCTTAAATAGGGTGCCAAGTCCCGAATTTAGGGTTTCCCAAACCCTGAGCAACTCACCGAGTCGGTCCTCCGACTCGTCGAGTAGGTCACTTAACCCGCGACCCGGAACGCGCTCGTACTCGTCGAGTCACCCCACCTACTCGACGAGTCTCCTTCTGATTTTTGAGGTTTTCCTTTCCTTTCTAGGTCTTCTGAATTCGGGGTGTTACAAATCTCCCCCACTTAAACTAGACTTCGTCCTCGAAGTCCACTACGACCCACTACTCCGCAACCTCTCACGACATTCCTAATCGCCGCATACCTTGCCTGCTCGGTCCAAACTTCGAAGGACCGCTTTTGTTGGCCTTCCGTCCAGTCTTCCTGAGCAAAATGCTATACCTCGAAGGTATCTTTTTGAGAACCATCCAATCACTACAAACCTTGAGTACATCGCCCTTACCCAATCGACAATCCTGCTGGTACTCTCCGAGTACTTACGTTGGACATCCAAGGGGTTCACCCCTTTTTCCAGCCTTCCCAAGGCAACTTCCATAAGCAATAACCTTCTCTATCTCTGAGTAGAACCAACCATGTGCTAGACTAAATCTCCAGTCACTACCAATGCTGGTTCCTTCACTGTCAACTACTGAATGCTTCATCCTATCACGTCTCAATGCTGTACGCCCAACCCAGTAGATGGATCAGATAATCCTTCGAGTAAAAGATTCGTTCCTGCAACGGTTAGACTCAGACGAGAGCTACGCAACAGAGTCAAGTCCTTTACTCTGAGATTATTTAACCCTGCAGTGAGTGGCGTAGTACCCCTCGGTCAATGAAAGAACCCCTTTCTAACTATACAATATTATTACTCCACAAAAAAAAACATGCTACATGCATATTCATAAAGCAATATTTTACATTGATAGTTTAATTACATAGACTGGATACAAACCGACTATTAAGATTTTTACAAAGTTTTTATATATTACATACTTTCCCAGGATTACAATACAAAAGCTATAATATTATCTATTCTACATCTTCTACCAGTACATGACTATAATGGATGCTTATCACCTGCAATAGTTTAAACATTGAGAGGGATAAGCGGGTGACGTTTAGTGAGTTCAATAACAGTTACAATATAACGCTATGCCATATACATATCAATATGACAGAAGCAAAGAGGGACAAAGAACAACAAAGGTATATGTGTATCATATGACAGACTTTCCATATCAACCAACAATCAATTTCAACTTGATATACATCAATAAAGCTTCAGCCTAAATGACACATAAAATACAATTTCGGATTATCATTTTGCTAGAATATACAGGCTTTCAGCCCTACATAGCCCTATGCCAATACCAGAAGTTATACGAGTCATGCTCTACATGGCCAAAGGCACAAAGCCAATACAAGAAAATTATACGAGTCATGCTCTACATGGCCAAAGGCATAAATCCGATATAACACAGGAAAGTACATTGAATATATAACACATAACACACAACTGTCCCTATATTGAACTCACCGTGAAATAACCGGGGATTAAATGATGATTTGGGCAGCACGTCGGCTCTAAATATGACTTTATGTGACGAAACCGTGGATTTTAGTAGAAAACCGACCTTACTCGGGCAAAGTTTCGACTTGAAAATATGATTTTCTCGGGAACTTCGGAGCGTCGGGACTTGCTTCGGGTGTCGGGGATGATACCGGAACTTCGGGGGGTTAAAAGTAGGTAAAAAGGAGAATAAAGGGTGAAAGAGATTGAAAAATGGCAACCATAACCGGGCAGCCCCGCGTCCCTTTTATAGGGGTCCGAAGCAGCTTACTACGCAGGGCGTAGCCTCGCTGTACGCGGGGCGTACGAGGCTACGTGTCCGATTCTCGGAAGGGAGGGCACGTGGCTCGGACGTGTCTGCTACGTGGGCATCATGCGAAGACCGGCGACGTGGTCAATCCGAGGCCCTGCCATGCGAACGCTGGGCGTAAGCCTCTACGCGGGGCGTACCTCCTCGGATAAGTCTCGAATTTTGATTTATTTTTATTTAAAAACTTCAAAAATTCATATCTTTTGCATACGAGCTCCGTTTTTTACGTTCTTTATATCCACGCGCAGGTGAAATTATGCTCTACAACTTTCGTTTAGACTTCGTCGGCTATTTTTGATTTATTTTTAATATTATAGTTTTAACGGGCCGGGACAGGAAAAGTCCGTTAAAAATTCATAACTTCTTCATCCGATGTCCGTTTTCGTCTGTCTTTTTACCGTTGTACTACTGTTGACGAGTCCTTCGATTCTTGTTTAGGTTGTGTCGGCTAAAAATCACTCGATCTTTATTTCGAGTTTTTAGTTGTGTACTGCTATTCTGAAACTTAGAAAAATCATAACTTACTCATACGAAGTCAAATTTGGACGTTCTTTTTATGAAAATTTTCGGTTTAACGAATACTACGACTTTTGTTTAGATCATTAAAGCTAAAAAGTAGTTTATAAAAACTCACTTTTTACATCATACAGCGTCGTGCCGGTTCTGTCGCGAAACTTCAAAATA